AAGCGACGTTGCCGAGGTATTAATTACGAATTAATTGCGCCGGTGGGTCGCAACAAAGGTGACGAGTGTGCCGTTTCGTGTGCGACGCACGGAGTGAACGCGGCGGCAGACGATCCGGAATGTCCGCGGATCGCGGACATTCTCCCTTCGAGATCGCGGTCCATTGTTGAAGAAAAAGGTCTCGAGAGAAACCGGGAATGACACGGTTCTTTTATATTGCTCACATAGATCGGCGAACGAGCGAAGCGCAGCGAAGTCCGCGCGGGCGCGCGTTTCCGCTAGGCTACGCGCGATAGTCGGGATTACGAGGGACGATATTGGCAGGACGAAAAGAGGACGAGGACATTCGGGTCGGACCGTGGTGCGCGCCGGTCCCGGGAAACGTTCCTGGTATGAAGTTTCTTGCGGTGCGGGACTTTTTATGGTGTTCCCCTCCTTCCCGCGGTGCGCCGTATGGCCGCGCTTTTAACGCCGCGGATAAATGCGATCTCTCGTCTCGACGAGTGAGCGCGCGCGCGCGCGCGCGAAACCATAAAAGGACCAAGACTCGGCGGACGGGACGAATCCCATTCCCTTGGCCGCCCTTCCGTCCTACCGCCGCACGCGACTTTCCGTTCTCGTAAAGTTTCTTGCCGTCTAGGAACCGCGCATTACCGTACGCCATTAGCGTATCCGCCGGGCCGCGCGCAGCAGCCGCGATCGCATTCGACGAAATGCACATGCCGCTGCCGCCGTTATGCCCGCGATAACGGATTGCAGATAGGACGGCGGCCCTTCGCCTTCTCGTTTTTCGTCGCAGCGCGCTTTCCATTCGCCGAGCGTATCGAAGAGGCGCGGATCGCCCGTGCCGCTCGTGAACACGCTCGGGAACACATCAAATGGTCATCACAGTAGCCGAAGAGTGTATTCGACGTCGCAACTAGGACGAAGAAATAGGACGGGAATGGTGTGAGGCGTGTCTCTGTTGTTGTATTCTTAGTGGATAAAGTGTGATAAATGGCTCGAGGCCTAACACTTGTTGCCACTTGGATTCCACTCGCAACCGATTACAACTTTCTTACGCTCTTACCCGATGTATCATCTCGTCATCTTGACGTCGCTGTGATTCTCTGTTCTATCTGGGTTATACCGATTACTCACACGAGCCGCCCATTTACCCCCGAAACGATCACGAGAGTGTGCGTGCCTTTCTTCCGGCGTCATTAATTCCCGAAGTCTGGAGAGACCGCGACGGACGATCCCTCTCTCTTTCACGAGAGTGAGAGAGAGAGAGAGAGAGAGAGAGAGAGAGAGAGAGAGAGAGAGAGAGAGCGAGAGAGAGAGGAAGGATAGAGCCTTTGGCAACCTCTTGTTTATTCTTCGATGCTAGTGAGGGGAGAGAAGGGGCGAAAGAGCCCTCCGGCCCGAGGCACCTCATCGATCTTCTCTTTTACTTTGCCCTCGGTTTACCCCACGTGCAACACCTTTGGCCCCCATCGAACCACTGGCGACTGGCCGCTTTTATTTCGCCACGCTGGCCGCCGCTTACACGCCGGAAAGCTTATTTATTTCCTGCCTCCGGACGTGCGGCTCGTATATAGTTTCGCATTCGTCTGTTTCCGCGAGAGCGGACGAAAAAACAGCGCAATGGGCAACGGGTGATTTGGAGCGGTGGAGAAAGGTCAACTTTGATTAAAGCCGCATCCGCGCCCGCTTGCCCATTCTCTCTCTCTCACTCTCTCCCTCTCTCTCCCCCTCTCTCTTTCTCTCTCTATCTCTCTCGAGCGCGCACGGATTTCGGCAATATCCCCGGAAAAAAAAAAAAGAGGAACGTGTGTCGACTGCATACACACACACACACACACACACACACACACATGTCCCTTACAGTCCTCCCTTCGAAAGAACGGTGGGCTTGCGGAGCGATATCAAAGTTATATGATCTCGTAAAAGCTTTATTTCGTGAATCATGAACGAATAGATCGTCAAGGGGAAAGTAATTGATTTTGATGTACTGATCTCGGAGGTGGATACGCATGTTCAGTAGGGACGAAAATAAAATAGAAAAAAACGACAGAGAGAGAGAGAGAGAGAGAGAGAGAGAGAGAGAGAGAGAGAGAGAGAGAGAGAGACAGAGAGAGAGAGTGAGAGAGATAGAAGCGTAAAGTTACTCGAGCGTATTTTGGAAATGCGGGTTAGCGTTTGCAGATTCAACGAGGGACCATAGAATTCATGAACGATATCTTCGACCAGCACCACACGCAAACACACATACACACACACACATCACACACACACACACGATGGGAGTTCTCTTTCATTTTTAAAAGAGTTATATAATTTATTAAAGATACCTCTCTACACACAGCTTTCAAGATTCCTTCTTCACGCGATATTATTCGAGAACGAGGATGTGATCTCTTGAGGATAACGTCGGCTGAGCGGAATGAAGGAAAGTTGTCGGACGGAAAGCGATAGTCCTCTCTAATGAAATTGGAATTCGAAATCGTCCTTTTACGACGTGGCCGTCGCCACTCGTCGACAATTATATCAAGCTGCGGATATAATATACATAAAAGAGAGAGAGAGAGAGGGAGAGGATCAAAGTGCGCAAATAGAAGGTTGGTATGAGTGCTGACGATTCACTCCGGCGTCACTCACTCACCCGCTCGCCTCGCAATTTCACCGATCGGCGGGGGGGGGGGGGGAGAAGTAAGACAATCGGCCGAACGTAATTTCCACGAGCGGAGTCGCCGGCTGCTGACGTGCCGTTTCTCGTCGCGTGACACGGCGATTTAGCAGTTCCCGTATCCTAATTAAGAACTCCATTTCGCGATTCTTATTCCCGATAGAGTTCAACAACGAGGTCGACGTGCTAGCCGACAGCGGTTGCTGGCAATTGAAATTGGCCAACTGACACGTAGTGGCGGCTGAACTGAAACGAGAGGAAAGGGTATTCTCAGCTCGCGCATGGCACGAAGTTGAATTTCCGGCTACGAGAACGACGACGACGACGACGGCAACGACAATGACATTTTTTTCCACGACGTTGAAATGCTTGAAATTACGATGATCTCGTCTTTTGTCAACATCACGTCGTCGTCGTCGTCATCGTCGTCGTCATCGTCGTCGTCATCCGTCGCGCAGACGGGAATATGATACGAATTGATCCTTAATGTTTCATTAAGTAATGGCCCCGAGAGTTCGGTTACCGTTGAATATACTTCTCTCCACTTCCAGCACGGTCGGTTTGCCAGCCTTTCTCGCGCATCGCCGTAATTAAAGTCAATATTGTAGCTGTACTTACCTGGGATGATAACCCGAAAATGGAATGTCGGTAAGAAAGAGATAGATGGAGAATGAGACAGAGACCAGCCGAGAAGGCTGAACTTGACGCAGGGGGATGCCGGAGGGAGGCGGGAGATCGCTGAAAGAAATTCACTACTCGAGCGCGTTTTTCTCTCTCTTGTACATGTCTGTGTGTACATATATGTATATATTTATAATCGCGGTCATCATAAAAGTACAATAATAGCTTTATATCAAATTACAAGGAGAAAGTCAATATTCACACGAGTAGGCGTGGGCGATGGCTTTTCGAGAATATCGATTCGCTGCGGATCGTTGCGTGTGATTTTATTTTTTACACTTCTTTTCCCTTTTCCGTTTTTGTTCGTTTTTTTTTTTTTCCATTTAATTGTTCGTCTCTTCTGCGGTTTCGTTTCACTACTTTTTTTTTTACTGCTTTTTGTTTCTGCTCGACGAGTTTGTTCTCTCGTCCATGTTCACTCTTCTCGTGGCGATCTAGGAACGAAACGCGGGGGAAAGAACGGACGCGAACGACTGACAAGAAGAAACAGTAAGAACAACGCGATAAGCGTTGTGATGGGCTATTAAACAAAACATCGTTGTAGACAATCAAATAATAACAACAAACAGTTTACAAAAACGCAAAATGGCCGTTGTGGGCACGCGTTGGGTCTCGGGAGGTACTGGAATGACGACTGACGTCGCGCGTCGGATAACTGGACGATCGCAGGTGGCAACGAGAGTATAAGAGTCTGTTGGTTCTGCCGTGTATGGTGCGGATTGTGTCGATTAGTCGAGAGACAATGTCGAGGTGGGAGAACGAAGTTCATGAGCGCTCACGGTGAAGACCCTTTTCTCTCTTTCCGCTCTCCTTCTTTATCGTAATCATCATCATCTTCTTCTTCTTCTTCTTCTTCTTCTTCTTCTTCTTCTTCTTCTTCTTCCTCTTTTCTCTTCTCTTCCTCCATTTCGATCTCCACGTTTCGTCCTCCCTCCCCCCGTGCTCATTATCTCGCAATCCATTTCTTTCGCCTCCCTCTCATGATCCTTGCGATTACTCCCCCTTTCGGTCGCTCACTTGTTACTATTATCCTTTGTACAAATATATAACATTCATAATTCACGATTAACGATTACGATTACGTGGTCCGTGGTTCAGCCTAATGTACGGAGGCCACTTCACGTGTCCCTTTTCACCAGCGCTGAAGCCGGGAGGTGGGGGCGGAGGGTGTCGGCGTGGTAGCCTTGTCTGTCGAGGAGAAGTGAAGAAAGAGACGCGTCTTCGCGAACTTCACGGTTGTTGGTTGTGTCAAGAACAGGTGTTCCGCGAAGGAGATAGATACGTCGATAGGTAAATAGGTGGATACAATTCGAGGGGATACTCTGTCGGGCGAACCGTCAGGTAAACCGTTTTGGCCGACTGTCGCAGCGTGCAACACTCGTAGCTTGTTCGTATTGTTACCCGTCGCCCGGCCCAAGTTCTACTTGTTCTACTTGTTCTTGTTGTTCGGTGTTTCCGAGTTATCCGTTTTGTACGCGACGTTAGTTCCTCGGCGGGACAATCGACGGGGGGAAGTCTCCTTGCTACTTCGTTACTTCGAGGGGGGCAGACAGAGATAGATAGAGACAGAAAGAGAAAGAGAAGAGAGAGAGAGAGAGAGAGAGAGACAGAGAGAGAGAGAGAGAGAGAGAGAGAGAGAGAGAGAGAGAGGGAGGGGGAGGGAAGGGGAGGGAGAAAGAGAGAGAGAAAGAACGTCGGAAGGGGAACGCGAAAGGGTGTGGGATCAAGGGCGTCACTAATCAGGCACTTTATAATGTCCTTCACCCTTTCTCTCCGTGCTTCATCCGCCATCCGGAATCGAAAGTGTTTTCGGTACGTGTACGCTCGACGACGACGGCAGTGGTGGTGATAGCGACGAACGACGACGACGACGACGTACTCGACAACGACGACGGGCAAAAAGTATACTTCTAGCTATGGAACATATCTCGTACACACTCACACATTCAACAATTTTTCATTTTATCTCTCGCTCGCTCGCTCTCTTTCTCACTCACACTCTCACTCTCCACTCTCTCTCTCCCTCTCTCTCTCTCTCTCTCTCTCTCTCTCTCTCTCTCTCTCTCTCTCTCTCTCTCTCTCTTTCTCTTTTCTCATTCGTACATTACTTTACGAAGTTCTTCTACTATCACGTTTTCGACGAATCCTCCTTCGTTTCCTCCTCTTGCTACAACTCCTCCTTCTCTTTCCACTCCTCCATTCCTCCGTGCGTGTTCACCACCGTCTTCTCATTGTTTACCCCTCATCGTCACGCGACGAATCTTATATCCCGTCGCGCTCCATTATCTCCTGCGCGCGGCTACCCCCGAACCTTTCGCCGGCGCGAAAGCACGTAACTTCTGACTCGCGAACCAATCACAATCGAGACTCGTCGATCTCCCTGCGACTCCTCGACGAGAGGAGAGGTCCTGTCATTGGCTACGTTGCTGTTAACGAGGTCTAGGTCATCAGTTCCGTCGTGTCGTCGACGTCCGCGTCGTCGGGCGGCTCTACTCGTACGGCGAGCTGCGTGTATCCCAGGTTAGCCTCCCTTCTGCCGGACCAGGCCTGCGAACAGAGCGATAACACACGCGCATTTATCTCCCCTTGTTCTCGCAAGGGTTGTTTTCCTCGACGAGAATTGCTCGAGTAAAATTCTCTAAACACGCGATGATAATCATAATAATAATTTTTTACAAAAGAAAACTCGTATACCCGATAAAATATAAAGCTACTGATGGAAAGACAGAGGAAAGAGGAGGAAGAGAAAAAATATGAAAAATTTTGAAGAAAAATAATGTGACAAGAAGTATGACAAAAAGCAAACGACAAAGACGTTTAGTAAATAAAGATAATAGCAGAAGATCCGTGAAATTTTGACAATTTCTTAAGTAGGTGTCGCATTTCTCTTTTTTTTTAATAGATGTCATCGGATGTGTTCACCTGTAGAGCGATAAATATCGTCGCGAACAATGCGATCGACGCGAGGCAGATAGCGACCGCCATGGTTGTGGCCGCTGTTACAGCCAACGTAGCCGAATCGTTGTTACTACTTGTTCTGCCGTTCTCGTACGCCTCGGGGACCCCCGAATCGGTCAAGAACTCTGTTCCCGGTACCCTCCTCTTGCCAGCCGGCGAGCTATTTCTGCAGCCGCCTGGGAACACCGAAGAAGCTATGAAAACTCCATTTCCCAGTCACTTTAACCTCGTCGTGATTTTTTGCTCTTCCTGAGATCTTACCGGTTTCCGGGTCACAGAGACAACACTCTTCAGCCTGGGGCCCCTTCTCGTTGCCCGTACAGCACGGCACGCACTGGTTGTTCAATTTATCCAAGTGCAAGGGCGGCGAACACGCGGAACAACTGAACTTGCCAGGACCGGTGCACCTTCGGCAGTCGGAATGGCAGCTCTTGCAGAGCTGCGTTAAGGGATCGTAGTACTGAGCGCCCAGGCACTCCATGCAGAGGCCGCCTTCCAGCATCGAGTGTGGCGGGCAAGAGGTGCATTCTAGCGGACCCTCGCCTGGAACAAACGTCTCAACGTAGCGCATTCTCCGGCTCGAGTGGCCTCCGGAGAAGCGTGAACTCGATCGATCGGCCGATCGATCGGATAAGCCGGCCGATCGATAGTGAGTGAGGTACCTTTGCACGTGCGACAGTAGTGGTGACACTTCTGACAGCCGTAATTGGACTTGAAGAACCCTTCCGGGCATTCCGGATGGCACTCGCCGGCTGCCAATTGCCACCCGCTCGGACAAGTGACGCATTGGTCCCTGCGTGGTCCCGAACACGTTTTACACGACAAGTAACACTTGGCGCATTGGCCTCTGTCGCTGTAGTAACTGAAACCGAGAAGCCACCCTCAAGAAAGATACGCATACACGCGTGCGTACACGTACGACCATCGAACTCGCTCCGTTACGTTCGTCTACTCTTTCTACCCGCACGACGTGCGAGAGAGAGAGAGGGAGGGGGAGAGAGAGAGAGAGAGAGAGAGAGGGGGAGAGAGAGAGAGAGAGAGAGAGAGAGAGAGAGAGAGAGAGAGAGAGAGAGAGAGAGAGAGAGAGAGAGAGAGTGCGTCCGTGTGTCCGACGACAAGCGTGAGCGCGTAAAAATTCGGTGAGTGATCCGATGAACTTGATCACTGCGCGTATGACATTAGAAGAGAAGAAAAAAGATAGTATCCTCACGACATTCTCTCTATCAACGATATTTTTCTCGTGCCGATGACGAGGAGGGAGAAACGCAAGTATCCCTGCATCGTTTTCTCACCCTTGCGCGCAGGACGACCTGCACTCCCCGCTCTGCAGCTGCAGCCCGTCCTGGCAGGCGGTGCAGTTGAGGCGGGACACACAACTCTTGCAAGTGTGCAGGCACGGGACGCAGACCGGCCGCGACGGCTGCACCACCGAGTAGTAGCCATCATCGCACTGGGACACGCAACGTTTGCCCTGGAGGAGCGTCGGGTTCGGGCAGGAAATGCAGTAATCCTCCGTGGGACCGGCGCAGGTCTCACAGGACGAGTGGCAGGGCTTGCACTGGCCGTCCTCGTAGTACTGGTTGAGGTCGCAGTTGTTGCGGTTCTCAGGCGCGCACAGGCCCTTCTTGTTCAGGCTCCAGCCCTCGACGCAGCTGGTGCAGCTCAGCGTGGCGCAACTCGCGCAACCGGGCGGGCAGGCCACGCACTCTCGCCGCTTCTTGTCGGCGCTGTAGCCGGCCATGCACGACGCGTGGCATGTGCCTGGGACATTCGGGCCCACGGGGACCGTGCGTTACACGCTACTCGGATGCTTAATCCCTTATCATGTGAGGCGAGTATCATCTGTTAAGTCTTTCTAGGTGAGAAGTGAGAAGGTGTGGCTCCTTAAGGGAGTCCCAAATGTTCAGGAATTTCACCGTGCAAAATTGCTCAGATAATATGGATTATGTTCCGGCCATAAAAGGACGTCCGGACGTCCAGATGGAAATCGAATTCAATCGGATGCAAATCAAGCAAAGAAAATGTATCAATTTAACGTAACGTAAAATTGCATCACGACATGAATAAGTAAAGTTGCAAGTCGCAGAGCATATCGCGTCATCGTTGCGCGATGCAGCTCTTCACAGCGGAGAGAACGAGAAGGGAGGGAAGTGGCAAAACTAATCGAGATCACTCACCGTTCAGAGCGAACAGCCCAGACCGACAGACGATGCACTGATTCTCCGCGGTGCCGTTGCAGGTCTCGCAGGTGGAGTGGCACGGCGCGCAATTGTAGTCCTGCGTCTCGTACGTGTAAGCGGGACAGGCGGCGTAGCATTTATTCTCGTGCATCACCAAGTGATGCTCGCAGCTGGTGCATTTGTCCGGCCTGTCCTGGCAGCTGGCGCAGTTCGCCTCGCAGGGCACGCATGTACTGTTCTCGGTATCTGTTCGCGGAAAGACGCGGATCACGTTGATCATTAACTGTCTCGACCTCGGCGGGACGTTTCGGAATAGCGCGTCGCGGAATGTCCACGTACTTTCGTAATAGCCCTCGGGGCATTGCTGAAGGCAGACCGCCAGGTCAGTGACTCGCAGGTGGGCGGGAGCGCACGACAGACAGGAGTCTTGACCGGCACCGGCGCACACCTCGCAGGACTCGTGGCACGGCCAGCAGACGCCACCTTGATTGGGGAAGCTCCTCGGCGGGCAGCGGCTGACGCACGTGCTAAAAAAAAATAGAAGGTCCCGCGTGTGGTCGACTGCAGGATAGTCGCTCTCGTCGAGCGAGCTGGAGGTGGTGAGACGGGTGTATGAGGTGTGAGAGCGGCGACGTGCATCCGACGACAAGTGTGAGCGCGCAGAGGAAGCGCGGTGTGACTGACCGGCCGACGCTGGTTCGATCGTTTTTCAGTGTCTCGTTGCGCATACGAAGCAGAAAGAGCAAAAAAAGGAAAGGAAGAAAAAAGACATCTCGCCCACGCACAGAGTCGTGTCGCACATTTAAGCGTTCCTACCGTGGTCATCCGTAAGGTGGCTTCGTAAGGTTACGTGTCAAGTTTCCATTAGTCTCGTCAGCATCGCATGTGAGTCAGTCGGTGCGTTGTATATATTGTGTGTATGCACGCGTCGCTAATCGCCTAGCTACGTTTCGGCACATGTGTGAACAGAGAATCCGAGAAACACACAACATCGGCATCTCGCTGCAAGCGAGGAGACGGGCATGGGGGATGAAGCAATTTTACCTTGAGGGGCCTCGTTTGCGATCGGGGGATCGAGAATCGGCGAGCGAGCTAAAAAATGTATACTTTACGGGCTATATCTTCCTATCGAAAGACAGACATGACAGCGATTATACTCCATCCATAGACTGCGCCTTCTCATGAGAGCTCTCATCAAGTCAAGAGATTCGTTTTCTACCGCTGGGATAGTGTACGCTCTCGGAATTCAAACCGAGACAGGTATAGACAATCAGATTAGTGAAGTGAGCAGGAGAGAAACTGGTGCAAAAAGTAGCGCAGCCAGTTCGGCAACAGGAAACGAACCCAAGATACGAAGGAGATTCACAGACGTGCAATCTTCGTCCAGGCTTGTTCAATAGGAGTCAAGTTGGACGAAGATCGAACGTCCATGACACAGGCCATCCTTCTTAGACGAAGTCTCCTATGTATATGAGTTCCATCTCACCGCGAGAGACTCCATATCTTACCGCGATTCTATGATGAAGGGAAAATGAGAGAAGGCCGGATATAGTCTACTCACTTATCGAGTCGATAATTTTTACAGGCGACGCACTGCGTCGGGCCCTTGCCGTAGCAGCCTTGCGAGTCACACTGGGGATCGCAGTCGTGCAATATCCTCCTGGTGGTGTCCAAAGAGCCGTCCGCTTGCGCGGACGACGCCGCCAGGGACGAGTCATAAGCGGACGCCGACGAGACGTCGCCGGGCAGTCGGTTAGTCAGTAACGGCGCCGACGAGCCGTCCAAGGTCGCCACGGATGCCTGTACGTTCGACGCGGCGCCGGTGTACGGACCTTGGTAGCTCTGAAAGGTAGACGGAGAAAAGAAGTCGCTGTTGTCCGGATAGTCCAGCTGTAACGACGGTACGTCTACTGTGAACGGATAACGCGCGGAGGCGTATGCGGAATGTACCGGGTTAAAGTGCCGGTTGCGCAAGCGGATCGGGTTCGTCGCCGTGCCGTAGAAGATCAGCTGCCACTTCTTCAGGATACCTGTGAACAGCGTCGGCGTAGGGCGCCGGGTTATGACACGGTAGCACGACTCTGGCCGGTCGCGACGACTTGCAGCGTCCGCGCGCGAGGAAGGTTCGAGGGCGAACGGACGGTTCATTCGACTTGGTTGTATTGAAAAAAAGCGGAATGTAATTCTCTCTCCTCTCTCTCCTCTCTCTCTCTCTCTCTCTCTCTCTCTCTCTCTCTGGAGCGCTTGAAATTACTTCACCAACAAAGTTATTAAGAAGAGTTGCCCCCGAGTTCGAGATTGTTCCCGAACGGACCGTTCTGTAGTCGTCGAACTTTCCGGTCGCGCTTTGCCGTAAAGTCGTACGATTTGCGCGGGATCAACGGGGGGGAATGAAGGAAGAACTCGCCTGGTGAGTTGACGTGTCGATTCCCGGCGTTAATGATCTGCAGGGTCCATCGACCGTCTGCCTTCTCGCCCCAGAAGTGCACGCTGAGGAAGGGCCAGTCGTCGAAGTTGGAGCTGAGGACGTCGCGCGGCCGCTCGAACAGCAAGGTCGAAGTCGTGCCCATCGGCGAGGTCAGCAGCAGTCTTAGATTGCCTCGAGGGAAGAACCGCAGGGACACCTGTTTCATATGACGCACCATTTGAGTCTCATTGATTTAAGAATCTACCGAGCCGATAAAAGCCAGAGAGCTATCTGTTATGTAAATATTTAATTAATCGTTGTAATTAGTTGAACACTATAATTAAACTTTTTGTAGGCAACTTTTTGTAGATAAGTTTATTTATAAAAATCTATATAATTCGATTTTAATTATATTTATGTATAAATTATTTATTTATAAATTACAAATTAAATATTATGTAAGTTCAGGCTATCATGATAAATTATAACAGTTTGGTAAAAAGTTATACATCGCAAAGTACTCCTCAGGAAGCCAGAGATCGACTGATTCGAAATTACTACTATTTACGAAATTACGAACTAAGATGTTCAGTTGGTTCTTGAAAAAATACTGCCGAAAGTAAAATATAATAATTAATCAAATATTCGTTATACTTAATATTTCTCGCATTGGCTCTTATTGACTGGTTTGATCCTCTTTCGAATGTATACATCCGAATCGGTACATCGAACGTACCGAGAAGTACCTTGACAAAATTTCCCGGATTTTTCTCGCGGGTTTAATCCGACGATGGTAAAAGGGGAAAGCAAAGAGGATTCGAGAGACCCGAGTTTCACGAAAGACAACGGATCACACATCATCACGCAGCGTCGATTCCGAGAATCGCTGGGACTTCTCGCCGCACGACGATCTTACCTTGCACTGCACATGTTCGAGGAAGCGAACTTCGTTCAAGGAGCCGGCGCAGCCACTGACGTCCATGTATACGCTCAAAGTATAGCCATAAGTGGGGTCGATCGGCCTCTCCTCGTTGATCTCGTCGGACTTGCAGATGTGCTGAGGCGGCACGTTGGTCCACTGCTCGGCCAAGGTGACCATCGCGCCCGCGTCCATGAGGCCGTAGCCAAACTTGTGGGAGACCTTTCTCTTCACCCCGTTCAGTATCCAGCCCGACTCGTTGCTCAACGGCTCGGAGCGCGAGGTGAGCACCACCAGGTATTGCATGTCGCGCCACGTCAGGCCGGGGTTCGCCTCGAGAGCGAGGGCGGCGATGCCGGCGGCGAGCGGCGCCGAGGCCGACGTGCCGGTGTGCTCGACGGTGCAGATGTGGTCGGGCCGCAGTTTCGCGTCCATGTCCACGGTGGCGACGCTCTTGTCGTTGCCCGGGGTGCCGGACGAGTACGTGGACGCCAAAGTGGAGCTGCACTCCTCGAGGTACCACGGCTTGTAACCGCCTTGGGTCGCGCTCGATATCGAGAGCGTGAAGATGCTGTTCGTGTAGCCGTCGCAGTTGCAAGAATCGGTGTGCCTGCCGCCGTTGCCCGACGCCCACACGAAGATCGAGCCCTTGCCCTTACGGCCCTAAACGCCAGTGGACAACAACGAGTGTGTGAGTGTGCTGGGTGTTGGTGACGCGGCCGTGGGCGAGCAGCGAAGCGATGGGATGCTCTTTCGAAGCGGCGCCGGCGCGAGCGGTTCGCGCGAAGCGGAAGATTCGGGGTGTGATTCGGGCGTAAGACAAAGCAGGACACTCTCGGCGACACGTCTTCTCGTCGCTCACTCTGCGTGCAGCAAGCGTCGTGTGTGCCTTCACACTTGTTTGTTTGTTTGTTTGTTTGTTTGTTTGTTTGTTATTATTAAAACAAAGCTGTTTGATCTTCAACCGATTTCACAACTATCAGAAATTATTATTATTGTTGTTGAATTATTATAATTTATTCAGTGCTCTGCGGCAGAGACCACACTGAATGTGTATCGATGAAAATATAGTTCGCTAAGGTTCCCTCTGAAGTTGCCGACTTTATGCATCAGATACAACGTTCAAGATTGCACAAGTAATTTGAGATATAACACTAAGACACGTATGGTATCTAAATGTGAGCCGATAATTTTAATACGTTTAATGGCGCAATAGTAACGAAAACTTTTTCATCGAAACAGACTGTGTTTACATATACGCGCTTCGGAATTCTCGATTATTGATTATTCGAGCAAATGACAACGATACTTCAAATATTATTCTTCAGATGAGCAGCGTTTGTAATAAAAAACACAAAATCGCGTAAGCTGAAATAATATTGAACGTACCATCGATGTTTGCTCGAGTAATAAACAGTCGCAATGCGCGAATGAATACGTACGCACAATGCGTGCGAATGAAAAATCCTAGTCGTCATTGTGCCATTGATGCGGATGTTTAGGCTATTGTGTCGGTCAGGGTGTATCTACGTCAACGTCCTTTGCCGGCGCGAGGGTCGTGGAAATGAGTCTCGTGCGCGCGGAATCATCGCGCGCAATTTTAATTAGCATCCGTTCGCGGGCGGACGGAGAGGAAAAAAAAGCGCGAATAGCGATCGAATTTTTCCGGGCAAAGTAAAGTACACGCGGAAAAAAAAAAGTAATTCCGATGGCGTATCGCGGCGAGACCATTAGTCTGCGAGAAATTACGGAAAATAAAATTCTCGATAGAGAAAAAGCAATTTGCCGCTGCTCTACATGTTAAACAAATTATTCCTCGCGAATCGATATCTCTCTCTCTCTCTCTCTCTCTCTCTCCTCCATCCCGAGCGAGAAAAAAACAAAAATGAGAAAGATAACACGATCCAACGCGCGCCGGAGTAATTTGTTTACATCGAAAGCGGAGCGCGGTTGCGTCTGAATTCCCGGCAAGTATTCGTACTTCGCGAGACACGGGCCTGTCGTATCCGGTGAAACTCGCTTCATCGTCGTCATCATCATCATCGCCGTCGACGTCGAAAATCGCGACGAGGAAAATTCTCCCGCGCACAATTAACGCCGACAATTTTCACTTCACGCCGCCACGTCATTGCGACGTCGAGCGACGTCGGCGGACGCTGAGAAGGGGGGCACCGCTCGCTCGAGATCCTCGAGGTGATGGAATAAAATGTCGAGGCGAAGAAGGTTCGCGCGACAGCAAATAAATTGATCCCTTCGCTTCGCGGACGCTTTCGCGCGCGCGCGCGCGCGCGCAGAAAGCGCGATGCAACTTACGCTCGTCACTCCGTAAATAAACGCCCTTCTGGCGAGAGGACCGGGCCCGTCGACAGTCTTGCCGTCGTCCTCGGGGCCCCAGGAGGCGCTGTATATGTCGATGTGATCAGGATTCAATCCCAGCGCTTTGGCTTCGACGGCGTCGTTTACCGGGCCATCGAGCATTCGCACGCCTGAGAACACGGCAGATATGTGCGTGAGAGAGTGAGTGAATCCTCCTTCCAGCCGGGCTCTCGCGAGCCGTGCGAACGACCCCCCCGTCGTGCTTGTCGTCGCGCGAGAAAGGAGCCAATGTGAATTAATCGGAACGCAAATCTCGATCGATCGCTCATTCGAGAGCCTTCTCTATCAGACTTTCCCAACGTTTGTCTGCGTTTGTTCTGTATCTACTTAGGGAATCTATATACTTGTGGTCGTCGTCGTCGTCGTCGTTGTCGTCGGGTGTGCGTGGATCGTTGCAACTGATGACAATGCAGATAATTCCAACGTGCAGCTGCTCACAGTGCGCAACAAAACAAAAAAGAAAAAATAGAAAGCGCGAAATACGTAGATTAATTGGAATGTAAACGCGAGTCGATCGCTCATCCGTGTCTTCGACTTCTCGGCGCGTCTGCTCATGTTTTCTGTATCTGCTTGGGGAATCTGTCTAATTGCGGTCGGATGCGCGCGGATCGTCCGGACCGATTTCGCAAAACAAGCCGACGTGCTCAGAAAAAATAGATAGCACGGAAATATGTAGATTAATGAAAAATCTGGACTTCTGATTCGCATCTGATCCGTATCTACTCGGAGATTCTGTGCGGCAGCCGAACACACCTTACACCTTAATCTTCGAGACGTGAGTTTTGCAATTGCGCGCGCTGCTTTGACGATATTCTGTCTATTCTATTTTTGCGATGTACGAAACCATTATTCAGTCGGCGAGCGCGAGGTTAACACCAGAAGGCTAAAACTTATATAGTCCAGTCATCTCCACCGGATTTAATTCGCGAAAGCACGCCGTCTAGTGGTAAAGATATAAATGACGAACATCGATATTCACATGATCGTATACTCGATACCCTCCGAAATTAAATCTAAAGAGATTAAACCGGCTGAGGTCTCCGGAGAAAATAACTGACTACGTGTTATTCTCATTCGCGTTCGTTGTGCCGTTTAAGCAGCCTCTTTTTGCCTGTTAAAAGGGGATTTAAGAGCACACGAATAGTTTCCAATTCCGCAATTATCCTCTTAACCCCTTGACTGTGGAGGCAGAAATGTACTAGTCGTGCTATTATTGTGTTGGAAAAAATGTCGAATTTTCTTTATGATATTTTTATAATAAGGGTTTTCGGAGTCGCCGAATCCAAATTTGATATTAAAATTCCGAAATTCAAAATGGCAGATCCAATATGGTGGGTCAAAATTATGAAAACAATCGGATATTTATGAAAGTGGGTATCTATATGTTTTTGGGGTCGCTGAATCCGAATCTGATATCAAAATTTCAAAATTCAAAATGGCGGATCGACTATGGTGTGTCAAAATTGTGAAAATAATCAGATTTTAATGAGAGACGATATTTATATGTTTTTGGGATCGCTGAATCCAAATATGATATCAAAATTTTAAAATTAAAAATGGCGGATCTAAATTTTGAAAATCAGATTTTCATGATTTTTATAATTTTGACTCGCTATGTTAGATCCGCCATTTTGAATTTCGAAATTTTGATATCAAATTCGGATTCAGCGATCTCAAAAACATATAGATACCCACTTTCATAAAAATCCGATTATTTTTATAATTTTGACTCGTCATGTTGAATCCGTCATTTTGAACTTCGAAATTTTGATCTCAAATTCGGATTCAGCGACTCCAAAAACATATAGATACCCCACCTGTATGCAAAGAAACAATAGTTTTATTATTTTTCTTCTTCGATGCGTGTATACACGTCATCCACAGTCAAGGGGTTAATACCGTTTATTAAATAAGTTTAAGAGATGAAGTGGGTTGAATGTAACATTCATTCAGCCTCTTCACTTACAGACCGAGAATCTGCTCAAGGAAACGAGTTTGAAATGTTTGGCAGCGGATGCTGACACTTCGTAAATAGCCTCTATTCCAGGCTATTCGTTTCTATTCTTGTTCTTCACGTGGAGCAGAAGGAGGGAGGGGACGGGTAGAGCCGCATAGAGATTCTCATAAACGCAGGACGCGATCCCGATCCCCGAGAGCACGCGGAGTCTCCGGCAGGGGCGGCTCATACGGACGTTTCGCTTCGAAGTGGGTTAGCGGATAGAATTAATAGACGGCTCGATAGCATCGTCGGGAGCAGCGACGGGCGCCCGGAAAAGCCGGCTTATTCTTCAGCGAGCCGAGACGTCGTAATCGGCGTCGGCTAGCAGTCCTGACATTTCCAGCGGCCCCGGGACTATTTATCCGCGCGAGCCGATCCGCGAGAGCAACGGGTCGCGCGACTGCAACAACTGCAGTCGGAGGCGGGGGAAGGGGTAGGGGGACTCGACGTAAGCAATAAAAGAATAAAATAGTTCTCAGAAAATGGGGCGCGCGCCGGCAGCAGCCTCGTCCGTTTGTTCCGCGACGCGCGATTGGCCATCGTCGTCAATATCGATGCGAGATCACCAAAGATGCGGCCGAGAGATGCGGCTTGGACACGAACGCGAATGATTGAAAAAGGGATTTTCAGTATTTTCATATTCCGGGAGGCTCTCACGGTATGTCGCGAGTCTTCCTTGCGCGATAGGAAGAAATAGAAGGAGCGGGAAGGGCGAAGGAGGAGCGGATGAGCGCACTCTCATCACCCGGAATGCTAACAACCGCGGATAACAACCTATCTCTCGAATTTCAACAAAATCCGCCAGGACATAAAATATCTACGCCAATTTCCGGGCTATCAAACGCAGGTCGGAATCAGTAAAGGGAAATATTGATCCTCGCCATACGTTATCCATCGTCGTGCTACTATTCAATTTTCGCCCGATCTGCAAGATATACACGCCGTAATTTAGGATTGTATAAAACTCAACTCAGCTCCCTCTCCCTCTCTCTCTCTCTCTCTCTCTCTCTCTCTCTCTCTTCCGTACCGCTCCGAGAGCATAATCTGTTCCACAGAGCGGAATGAAAATTTCTACAAGTGGACATATTCCTGGAAAATTGCACGTCAACGGAATGTGTGTGTGAGAGAGAGAGAGAGAGAGAGAGAGGAGGAAAAAGGGAAGGAAGGGAGAACGCGATACACGCGATCCGGATTAATAGGCGATCTTGCAACTTCTCACGGCGGATTCGGATCTCATTACGAGGCAAGCTCTCCAATTAATTTGCGCTTTCGAGGCTTTCCTCGTCTGCGAACGTTAAGATTGCATTACGCGGTAATCTTCTTGACTCCCGTTTTTATCATTCCTAATTAATTCCCCCTGCCTCGGGCCTGTAATCGCCTGACGATCCCCGCCGACGGGTCGGAGTCGATCGACTTCCCGGCGACGATCGGCTCGACTCGCGCGACTCTCTCAATTGACGTCGCGAGTGAGCGGAAATAAATCCTCCCTCGAGGACAGCTGTTTCTAGATCGATTCTCAGTCGCGGCCTCCTCATCTTACCTCCGATACTGGCGTTGTAGGCGACGCCGACGCCGCAGTACTGGTTGAAGGCGACGGCGGCGACCTCGCCGGCGCAGCGAGTGCCGTGCTTGTTGTCGCCGTTGTCCCTTGGCATCGGGTCGTCGTCGTTGTCGTTGATGTCGGTGCTGGCCTCATGGTCGTAGTTGAGCGCCAGGTCGGGATGGTTGGTCTGAATGCCGTCGTCCAAGATGGACACGACGACACCCTTGCCGGTGTAGCCCTTTTGCCAGGCTGGGGCGAGGTTCATGTCATAGCCGTCCTTGGCGCCGCCGTTCTATGGCAATGAAATGTCAAACTTCACGCTTTCGGAAGAGATGGAGCTTTCGAGCTGATGGCTCTCGGTTGTGAAATCGTAGAACAAGAGCACCTGGCCGAGTGGAGCGGAGATGCCTCGAGGCTTTATTGCGGGGCGGGATTACAATTTCGTTGACCGAATTCAATTCCTCCCCCCTCCTTACTCCGAGAGGAAGAATCTACGCAAGTAGGAAGTAACGTAAAAAGTACTCCTGCAGCCGGGCATCGATGTCACGATATCGTGAAAGTCCCCGCGAGAGAATTGGCGAAACGACGGGTGCGAATGTTCTCGCGCGCGGCATTTTACCTCGGCTAAAGATCACAACGATGATGAATCACGAGCGCGCGACACTACGTGATTCTTTGACAGGTATTAATTCATGAATTTCGTGTTGCCGTGGATGGCAACACGATGATTGATATTCGTGTAACGCCCGCACTCACACAGAAGTAACTCGCGCGCGCGCGCGCGCGAGAGCGAGTGTGATTTCCTAGATTAATGGATTACTAGCCACATGGCAAATTCGGACGTTCCCCTTCTGGGAATACCGCAAATTTCGCAGTGATCCGCCGCGCGCGCTGCCGCGGCAAACGACTTCGATTTCTCATTTTTCGTCGCTGGTCAAACTGGAAACTATGCGCGGGTCTAACGCAAACGCTGGACGAATGAGATTCGAGTTTTGAGCCGGGAAAACTGCAGTCGAGAGACCGAGCGCGCGACGATGGTGGCCGACAGTCCGAAACGCCGAAACGAGCGTGAAAAGCGGCCTTATTTTTCCACGTTCTTTTTGTGACACATATGTGACATCGCATCGTGGATAATAAATTAGATCACCGACCTCTTTGTCTGCTTGCGCGCATTCTCGCAAACCCCCATCCGCGAATGACTTCACTATCGAGCCTGGAGAATTTCGCCGGTTCGCGTTCGCGGCGGATTCCCCCACTTGGGATTTTTGCAACGGAGAAACGCGAGCTCTCAATTTATTGCCGTATATCGCGCGCGGCGCGCGTCATCGTTCGCATAAAAAATATCGAGCGCGTTAAAATTCCAAGCGAATTTTCGACAGAGCTATATCTCTTCCGATACCGCCACCGGTGGACATCTGAAGCTCTATATACCGAGCCGGAAAAAAATATACGTTATATACACATGATCGTGTGTGCGTGTGTGTGTGTGTGTGTGTGCGTGTGCGTGTGCGTGTGCGTGTGTGTGTGTGTGTGTGTGTGTGTGTGTGTGTGTGTGTGTGTGTATGTATGTATTCGAAACACGATCCAGCCGAGCTGGCGGCGCGATTTGTATCCTCTAACAAACGTCCATTTTATGCATTTATAATGGATTGATTATTGCAAGCGACCGCGGCAAGCGTTTGCATTTACGTCGTGAATTTGCGTAATAAATGTACGATATGGAAATACGCGAATGTTTCGTACGTGCCGTTCGCGGCAGGTAACGCGAGGCAGGCGAGAATCCATGTGTGTGGCGATCGTGATCGCCTCGAAACGCGGCGAAAAAAAAAAAAAACATTCGCGACGGTAACGAGATAAATTCGCTCGTGCGTAGAATAATATCGCAGCTCCCGTAGATTATATCCGTCAGCAGATTCACGCGCGCGCATGTGTGTGTGTGTAAGCGGGGGGAGGGGGGGGACGGGGGTTGGATGGCCAAGAATCGCGAGCGCCAATCGCAGGTGCAGCAAACATACAATGACGATCCCTCGGTTTCTCTTCCTCGCGAGAGAAGAAACCGCCCGCTCCCTTTCTCACAAAAATCATAAATATGTAAACTGATTATAAATTATCATAATAGATCCGACTAAAAATGTCTTCCATAGTTACGCCGAAGGCAGTTATTTCCCACCCGTCAACGTATGGGCCGACACGCTGAATACGTACAAAGCCTCTCTCCTGAACAAAATCTCTCTCTCGGCGCTCGAAAAGCGCCGGACCCCGCTAATTTAAAGACCACTCTCCCCCCTCCTCCGCCCTGTCCAGTTGCGCTGGAAACTTGGTGCGCACGTGAGGTAAAAAGCGCGCGCAGAAGGTACACGTTCGCCGTGATCCCGAGGATTTTGCACATTACGTCCGCAGCTCGTCGAAGTCCCAGAGAGAGAGAGAGAGAGAGAGAGAGAGAGAGAGAGAGAGAGAGAGAGAGAGAGAGAGGGGGGGGAGAAAGAGAGAGAGAGAGAGAGAGAGAGAGAGAGAGAGAGAGAGAGAGAGAGAGAGAGAGAGAGAGAGAGAGAGAGAGAAGTGGCAGGAGTGTATGCGCGTCGTACGTGTTCTCTCGCAGGAACATCAGCGGCAGAATGTGCCAATCTCCGCGACGATGCACCCTCTCAGCCGTGCTTTTTTACCCGGCCATTCGGTCGGGACGGTCCGCGCGCGCGGTGTACTCCGCTCTCTCCGTTTTCCCTGCGATTCCATTAACTAGATTGCGCATTGTCGTGCTCAGCCGAGAGGAAGCCGGGAGCATCGATGCGTGTCCCCGTCGTCCGTGTCAGCGCTTATCTACCAGAGATTTCGGCGCTGTAGTGAAGCGGGGAGGGAGGGAGAGAGAGAGAGAGAGGGGGAGGGGGGAGGAAAGGAAAGGAGAAACAGAGAGTGTTATGTGCGCCGAATGCAACGGGATCAGGACTCGATAGCTCGACGAGGAGGAGGATCTCGTCGCTGGAAGGGCCTTGATGCCGGATACCGGGCGAATACAAACACGGCATCACCGAGCCACCCGAGCCGAGGTTGTCTTCTCATCAGCTCGTTCGTCGACTGCCGGAATCGCCGACATTGAATTGTACCAGCAGACGCCGTAGACGCGTTCGACGTTCGACAAACCCTGTGTGGAACTTATCGCGTGGTTATCCCGTTTATGCCGCGAATAGTGGCGGCAGAAAGGAACAGCGGCCGAGGAGATCGCTTGGACTTTCCAAAATGTGCCACCGAGCCGCCTCTCACGTTCGGGAAGCTCCGCGAACTCTGCTCGTGCAGCCTCTCGCGACACAGGAAGAGGGAAGGACATGTCGAGGGAGGGAAAAGGTTCCTCGGATTTTCAAGGATGCCTCCGTCGCCGTCGGGCGATATCCAGCAAGGACCGGACTTAAAAATTGATAAAATGGAAACGAACTGTTCCATGCCAGCGGTTTAATTTTCCCCAACGCGGCTACGGTTTTAATCAGAAAAACGGGGGAGGGGGAGAAGGCCCGATTGCGTGGCGCCGCCTCACGTCGCTCGTCCTCTCTCGCGATCCGCGCCGGGTGCATCGATTTCTACAACGCGGCTTCTTCCGGTCTGGAGAGAGAAAGAGAGAGAGAGAGAGAGAGAGAGAGAGAGAGAGAGAGAGAGAGAGAGAGAGAGAGAAAGAGGGAGAGGCGACGTGGGCAAAATTAGCCGGCAAGAAACGCCGAATTTACGGAGCATCGCGCGTATAAGAACGCGTCGTAATCCCGTCAGTGGAACGCGCGCGCGAGCAGACTGGGGGCGGAGGGATGGCGACGGGATGGGCTCGTGCACACATTGTGGGCGCATATTGTGCCCATGGAGAAGACAATGCGCCCCATTGTCTCTCGCGACGCGTGCGGTCGAGCCGGCAAAAAGAGGACAAAAAACACCGGGGTCTCGGCCCGGAGGTTGCGAGGAGCCGACGCTCTGTGTGTGTTCGCTCGGAGGTGCTCCCCCTCCTCCTCCCCCTGTCTTTGGGAGCAACTCCGGCGTCTTCCACGGCCCGACAAAAGCGAGCCACCCATCCGAATGAAGCGTCGCTCTCATGTCGAGCATGAACATAAGAATATAACAGGCTGTAAGAGTACAGGCTTATTTAGAGACACGCGGTTGGGATCGCAGGGGGAAAGGACGCGTAAAAAGGCGAGGCTCCAATCCCCAGAGTACCGGCCCTTTCATCCGCGCCCCTCTTTCTCGGTCTTCCTCATGCAAGATTTACTCTTTGTATCGCTTCTGTTTGTCCCCATCTTCGGGACGATATTGCGCTCAAACGTCTTTCTTACTGTGCGCGCACCTGAAGGGTCGAAGATTGATAAATCTACCTGTCATGTTTATTTTCAGTCTTTTTTCACTGCAAGTCTAAGCAGCGGGGGCTGGGAAGTATAGATCGACGAGCAGCCTGACGATTAACCCCCTGTGTGCGGAGACCCTTTGCGGGATCGTCGGGATATCCTCGATGACGTAGTTGCGCTCACTTCTCCATCAGCGGCAAAGCGATCGCCGCGACATTTAGCGCTATTTATGCGTTAATTAGTATTTGTGTGCTGATCCCGATTTTTACGCTTCGATAACCAAACAGGAGCGTTAGCTTGACGTCAACTAATGAGCACACACATAAGCAAACTAACTAGCGCATAAATAACTCAAAGTGCTTCCAATTGTTTTGACATCGGCGTGGGTTGAGCTTGACGGGGGTGTTCCTTGACGTGTACCGAAAATATCCCGCCACGCTCGGCTGTTTGTTTAACGCGCGCCTCGAAGCGCGATTTATTATCGTACGAGATGTTGCGATCGAGACGCATATATCGGCAGCTGTTGTTTTTCTCGTTGTAAATAACAAACGCCAGCGCGCTCTCCAAAGCTCTCCAGTGTACCAACAAGCGTAATATAAATTAATTCTCAATATTGCGCGGACACTGCGGCAGGAGCACTGCAAGAAAGGGGCAAGGGGGGGTTGCAGTTATTGGATTCACCGAGAAACACGTCTCGCGCTTGTAGGAGAAGGGTCTATCAAAGTCGCCGGATAAAATATCGATGTTAATACATTTATATGAACTTTCTTCCGTTCCTCGTATTGTGCCTCGCTTCGTCGCGGATTTCATCCGCCGATGCAATTCCCCGCGGTGTTATGATTTCATACGGAGAACACGAGGGCGAGCTATGAAATATCTACTCGGATAGCCGAGCGATTCGAGGACCAGAAACGAGGAGCAGAAACGGCAATTGGCAATATCGGGGATGAGCTGCGAATCTAGATGTCGAATTCGTCTTCACCTTCTGACCTCTCTCCGGTCTCCTTGCGTCTCATTTGCTCGGCAACAAGGCTGAATAAACAACGGCCCTTTGAAACAATCCCCGTGAATTCGGGGACCGCCACTGCGACCCGACGTCTCTCCCCAGCGTTTGTAAAGAGACAGGTCGATAAATAAGCGCGCTTATCGACGCCTATCCAGAGCAAAGCCCGTTGAAAGCATCGCGGCCGAGTAAAGAAGAGCGGGGAGAGAGAAATTTATAGCAAAGTATGAAGACAGAGGTGGAAAGAAGAACAAAGACGCCATCGCCAAGATCGCCAAGGAAAAGCTCCGTCAGGAAGAAAAACCTCTTCGATGAGGTCGACAAAGCCGGCCGCCGCCGGCGCAAGGAGTCAGCTTCGTCCTACGCGGAACATAATGGAAGGCTGGCATAGCGAGACGGGTCAAGTGCTCCGACGCTGAAGTGTAGACGAGGATACGTCTCTCGTCTACGTGTCACGCGAGCGGCCGCATCCTCGGCACCCTCGCGTGCCTCCGCAAGCGGTATCAGCTCTTAATGAAGTAACATCGAGCCGCAGGGATTGAGCCGCTGGATTTCGTCGGAACACCCTTATGTAGCAGGGGGATGTATCACGCGAGAGGGGAGGGGGAGTGCTTTCTCGAGTTACGTAAGCGCGCTAGCCCCTCTATCTGGCACCTCGGGCGACGCTCCGGGCGCGTCACGAATACTGCATCCTGTGGTTTTATACGCGGTCGGCGGTTTCCGCCCCCCCCCCCTCCCCCTCGGATATCGGCGGCATATTTGGGCATCGTCGTTCGTAAATAGAAGCCCCGGATGCCTCCCCCCCCCGTTGCGAAGGGGCATCGCCCGAGCTGCTCGAATTTCATACCGCGCGATATCACGTCCATTATGCGAGAGATCCCGGAGTTCCCCGGAGTGCTCTCGCGTTCCTGCGTCTCGCAGCGACGCGTCAGATCGCCCCGAAGAGAGGTCTCTCGGTAAGCCCCTCGTACCAATGCGCGCGTCTCGCCGACGACGCGCTTGTATCCTATTCTGCTTTCCTTTCTTTCTCTTTCCTCTCTCATTTTCGGAACCGTCACCGAAATTCGCCGCGGACACCTCACGTTCGCTCACTTCCCCGCCGCAGCTGCTCGCTCGACCTCTTATCGTCAAGGATACCGAGGCGGGTTTCATATTTGAGACGCGTTCGATCCTTTTGTCTTCCAACTCGGATATCCTCGACGGGATATAATGGACATCGCTGCGAAGAAAAATACTAATCGCAAAATTCCACGAGAGAAAGAGTCTCGTCGTATGATTAACAGACGAGACGAGCTCGAGTCAGGTAATTTCCTTTGCCGATTGCGATAAATCCTGCGTCTCTGAAGACGCTCGAGTTCGAAAGTTAAAAGCCCGATCTCTCTCCGCGGATAGGAGTGTCTCAAGTGGGATTCCCGAGGGATAAATCGACGAAAGCAAGTCTACATCGATAATCGCGGCTTGCTGCGAGCGGATTAAGAAGCCGAGTAGAACGAGACCACCCGAGCAACCGTATATCCTCGCAAGAACGGGCGCAACCGGAATGTTTCCTAGGTCTTCCCGGCCGTTCGCCAATGAAAAGTAGCGGTTGAGCAGTTAAGGGAGCGGGACACTCGGCGCAATCGAGAAGTTCGCAACTCAGGCTGAGACGACGCGCCGGCGGCGGCAGCGGGCGTCGGGACGACGAGAGAGAAGTTTCCGGCGGGATCGGGTGAGCCTTGCCAAAAGCCCGGCCGTTGCTTCCGTTGTTTCTCGCCGCGCCGGCCGTTCCAGACGGAACGGCCCCGCACCATAAGCTGTTTACGGCATCGCAAGAAAACGCACGGCACAACGGCGGCTCCATTAAGGCCCGAGAACGAGCGCGGCAGCGCGCGAGAAATAAGCGCGAGTCCGGCCGGCCGACCGATGCACTTGGCGCCGGCGATGATTTACCGGCTTCGCCAATGAGGCCGTCGTCATCTTCCTCCACACGTTCATCGTCTGTCTTATTTGCCAATTGCATCGCGTCGCTACGAGTTCATCGGGAGCATTATCGTATTAAGCCTTAAAGGGCACACCTTCTGAGGAAAAACGTAAAGAGCACACTGGGACAAATTGATCCGAGTAGTTTCAATCGATCGCTACAAGGTTACTATTCATTTTTCTGAGTTAAAAGATTCAGGTATATAACTTGGACATCCAAAAAATAAGGTGCAACAACTGCGTAATATGTGGAAGGAAGAATGTTAAATATTAAAGAAAAATTATAATTTAAAGGAAAACCGAAAAATTGACTTTTTTCACTTCAAATTTAATAACTTCTTCATTTAACAATATTTTCTCGTAAAAATTTAACTTGATATTCTAGAAACCCTGCACCTTAAGATAAAAACGACTGCAAGTATGAATATTAAAAAAAAAAGGGGATTTATCTGAACAACTGAAATATGATTTTTTTGGAAAAAATTGACACAACATTCGTCACTGAAAAATGTTGTTAAAAATATCCTTATTATACTCTTATCATATCGAAATTACTTATATATACAAAATACATAAATTATGAAACCACCGTACAATTTAACAATAACTGGAACTATACGGAAGAATAAAAGTGAAATCCCAGCGGAAATGACGGTTGCATCGAAAACACCGCGTTATATGTGACAAAACGGGGCCAAAACTGATGGAAAGTAGATCATAAAAGATTTCGTCAGAAATCGCACTCAGGGCACACACGCACAAATTGACCCGGGCTCTTCGACGTATCTGTTTCAAAATCCAAAATGGCTGCAAGCTGGAAACTTAAGGCCTTGAGCCTCGCAAGCAATACACAGTCATAAAGTAGGAGAATCAAGCCAACAATAGATGGCGCCACAAGTTCCGATTTCAAATATTTTCTTGCAGATTTTTAATTGCAAATCCTCGCTCGAGTCAATCAGACCTGTAGTGCCCTTTAAGAGTTAAGAGAAACGACGGCTGATAATGGAGCAATATTCGACGATTGAGAGATCGTCAGGCTTGTGAGGTTAGAGAGAGGTTAATCGAGGTCCGATTCGCTCTGATTCGACACGATGGTTCATCGTGTGGTCCACAACGAATCAAAAAATTAGGGACCATTATAGGACCACGATAAATCATCACGATCATCAAATCACGACGGACCGCAATAAACCTCATAAACCCTCGCTCCCCCAAATTCGCAGCGGTTTTATACGCTCGCTCTGCATCTCGGCACGACCGAGTGAGTCCCGCTTCAAGCCGCGCGTGTAATGCGCTCGATGACGTTCGGATACGCGGAGAATGAACCCCGGCTCGAACGCTTCTGCGATTAAATTCGGGGACGAGGTCCCCGATGCGACGTGGCGTCTTCGACACCGGAGGCGACAGGCCGGTCGGGAGTTAATTTGCAGCGATTAACCCACGCGACTGGAACGGAAGAGCGACGTTTCGCTCGACAGCGTCGGGAACGGCGAGCCGTGGCGAGGAGGCGGGGGAGAGGGGATGGGGGCGGGTTAAAATGGCGCCCTCGTTGTTTTCGATAATCTCGTCCAGGGCTGGCGATCGATCGCGCCGGCCGCTCCATAAGATCGCATTAGTCGCGGCCGATAATCGGATAACAAACACGCTGATTGACTGTCCGTACGAGGCCCGAGTAATTACCGTGATAATTGTTTACACGCCCGCGATTATGCGAGCCGAGTGGCATTTTGCATGAGATACCTCACGCGTTTTGAGCGCATCCGGCTGTAATGGATACGCCGCGCCGGGGCGCGCGCTGTTTCGCCTCGCGTTCGAGTTGACGAGCGAGAAGGCGCGCAATAATTTAGCGGGTAATTCGCCCGCACCCCGAGAGACGAGCAATTGCATACGATCGTTTCTCCCTCTTCTCTCTCTCTCTCTCTCTCTCTCTCTCTCTCTCTCTCTCTCTCTCTCTCTGCTCTCTTCTTTTCTCATTCGTCGCTGTCGAGGCGTAACATCGACGTCTCGCCGCGGGCGCGGGGGAGTATCAGGACTCGGTCGGGCGAGCAACGATGTGACCGCGAAACTGATGACAGGGTTTCGGCCGGGAGAGAGACCGTTCGCCGAGAATGACGGTGAAATAACGAGTGAAATATAACGCGCGCGCACACGAGCTTCTATCGGCTCGTTATCCGTTTTACATATAATATAATGAACGCGCGATATATCGGCTGCAGGCTATTTGCGTTGGAATACGCGCCGAGTTTATGCGCATATTTCGAGCCGCGATTATAATTTCTAATGGCGCAAAGCGATATACGACCTCGTGTTCCTTTTGTTTCGCTCTCGGCGATTTATATAAAATTTCGGGCAGAGTCATTGTCTCTCGCGTGACCACAGAGCGTCGATAGGATACTCCGCGGCAGGTCCCAATAGGGACGTACGAAAGGAGCTTGCCAAGGGGAAGGATCGTCTCAGCCCCGATTCGTTCGATTCGCGTCACGTAGTGCCGTCGCCGGCAGAGAGACGCGAGAGAAAGTGGGTCCACTTACCAGGTACCACTGTTCCTTGAAGAGCGGGTCCGTGAAGAGATTTTGGAGCGGCAAGCTCGCGCTGATCCTCGGCGGCTGCTGGGTCGTGCCGACATGGCGCGAGCGCGGCCGGAAGTCGAAGAACGGCGGGAAGCCGACGAAGGCGTAGGGCGCGCTCTCGAAGTCGCGCTTCTTGCGCTTCTTCTCGTGCTGCTGCTGGAACCAGTGCACCTGCAACCGAAAGCACACACAGGCCGAGCCTGCAGTCATCGTTCTTGTGGCATGCCCGGCCGTCTCGATCGCCGCGTCATCGCGCTATAAACTTGAACAACGGCGAGCTATTAGCCATGCGCGCGCGCACGAGGAACCGCATTTTGTTATCTCATACCCGCCATTTTACCCGCCGAGTTACACGCGAAGAGTGCGGCCGTGTAGACGTTGATGTTGAGGTTGTCCGGCAGCAACGTGGCTGGCGCGCACGCGCGCGCGCGTGTGTGTATTGTGCGAATTTTCCTAACCTTCGGAGGAAGCCGGGGGGTGGCTCCTATAGGAGCCATATATAAATCGGCATTCAGTGTTTTCTTAAAGGTTATATTATAGTTATTTATGCACTTATGTCGATGTTTATGTGCTCTAAACATATATTCGCATATGTGTTCGTGTGATTTTTACCTTACTCGTAAATAAACATTTATTAACAAGTACACATTTTAGCTGCATAATAATTTGCATTTCAGTACGTTTTTATTTATAATGGACCCACTTTTTCTCAGAATTATATAAAATCACAGCATACAACACTATTAGAGTTTTCGATTGCGCATAGTGCGTGATAACAATCACTCTAAAAGTAACGAATAAGTATAAAAAATACAGAAAAATAGTTTTTGAAATAAAACAATTTTCATTATTTTTTAAAACCAAAATTTAAAAAATTATGAAAAAATAAAAAAATACGTTAAATAACAAAAAATATAAAAAAACAAAGGAGCTACATAACTTTCTACGTCCACGTTGTTAGTTCTGGGTTATGCTAAAGGAAAGTTTTATTACCGTATGAGATTACTTATAGTAATATAGATTTATCTTAGATAAATAATTGCCTTTCTTTGCAAAATTTCGATAATCTGATATCAAAATGATGATCAGCGATATAAAAAAAATCCCTAAAAATGCCAAGATCCAAATTTTGAAAATTCTTTATTTTGGCCGTTCCGTTCCAGACCGGGGTGGCTCCTACAGGAGCCACTAACTCGAAAACTCTACGCGACATAATGGTTACATATACATATATATATATATATATAAATTTTCCGCGAAAAAAATTGCAAATTTTAAAGAAAAAATGCCGGTCTCTAAAGGTTAAGTGTCGGAAATATTTTAGGTTGTCGTCGGACGGCTTCTTGTCAGCGAGAAGGCGCGAGACGCGGCTCGTGTTAATAACATGCAGAGAGAGAGAGAGAGAGAGAGAGAGAGGGAGAGAGTTAGAGAGTGGGAGAGGAAAAGGAAGAGAGAGCTGCACAACTAGGACGACGTCGCCGACACAATGCGAATGACGTTCTAATGCCTCCACTAGCGAAATTTATCAAGCGGCCTCGCGCGATATTAAATGCAAGTTTTAGTCGTTTAGGTACAATTGTAGTTTCCTCTTGCGATCGCGTCGCGGAACATTCGGTCCGTGTGTGACTCCGCGTCTAACACGTTGATATATTTGATAATTGATTATTACGAATTGTCATTAAGGAGGATTTAAGTTTGAAACAAAATGTTCGGTCGGCAAATTCAAGTTAATCGAGATTGAACATAACGCGCGACTCGTGCAAAGATAACCGTGCGCAGGTTCTTGATTTATATCTTGTTCAAATCAGTCGTTGAAACCTCGAAAATTTATTTTATCTTGTTTTATCGGATAAAAAAAGAATCCAATCTAATTCCACTTCTGCTTCTTTCAATATCTTTCAATAAACCAGCTATTTTTTATGAAAAACGTGTACGAACACCGTTGGAACTTTGGCGTAGAATCACAGACAATGACAACGATTAATGAATAATTTCTTTGTAATGGATGTGCAATTTAAATTAAATTTCACTCCAAAGTCAAAACGAAGTGAGCTTTTCGCTCGATTCGATATAATTACTACAGTATCAAAGAGCTACTGCAAAATTTTTAGAAATAGTGGAACGAATAGCACAAAGAGGCTCCCATTAACGTCTAATAGAATTTCGGAGAAAAATATAACGCAACAAAACTAGCCTGTTCTTTAAATAAAATACCAGACATATTAAAGGAATGATGTGTGTCTCTCGTCGACGTCCATATTCGTCTATCGACCGTCGCTTCGGAGAGTGATTTGATCGAGGAGCGAAAAAAAGAGCCAAACGCGCGCACGCTCGTTCGCTCGCTCGCTCGCTCGCTCGAGAGAGAGAGAGAGAGAGAGGGGGAGGAGAAAGGGAGAGGGAGAGAAGAGAATTAAACTATGCCGCTCTCCTCCAATAAATTTTTCGCTCAAAGCACTACGAGGCTACGGGGGACCGATGGCGGGCGATCGCTGTTTTTTATCCTGTTGATTGGTTAAGCGGGCATACACCGCGATGCTCGGCGACGCGGAAAATCCGCCGGCGCAGATTGACCGAATCGAGGGGGGTCATAAATCGCACAATCACCGAAAAACGCCTCGGGGGCAACGAGCTTTAATTCTGGCGCTCTTCTCGTTTCATTCATAGCGTAGCCCGGTGGTACGAGAGCAGACACGCGATGCCATTCGGCGTGCCGCGCCCCCGACAGATTCGCCGGCCTTGCACATTTTGGCGAGACGCCAATTTCGGCAGGATCAAGTGAGTTAGTGTCACGGCCGTGTGTCGCAGCGGCTGCGCGCGTCGCTGGAGCAGGGATTTTAGAATTTTCGAAACAACGGTACGAATACACAAGCGCGAAATTTGCCGCATGTGCCGCGCCTCGATCATTGAATATACGTTAAAAGTCCCCTAAAACGAAAGGGCCGTATATAGCGGACAAATAAGCGGCAGATGTTGCTCCGTCCTTCGCCTGTGAATTATAAATAGCCTTTCCGCTCCTCCCCTCCGCCGTCCTAGAGCAGAGAACAGTAGCCGGTGGTATGAATCGCTAATGGGTAATCGGGCGAAAGTGATGACGTGATAGTTAACGAAAGTCACCCGTCATTTGAAATTCTAATTTCCAAACTTATACTCGCGAACAGCCTACCCGTCTGCTTGCCAGCCGCCAGCCAGCCAACCAGTCTGCCTGCTTGCCTGTCTGTCTGTCTGTCTGTCTGTCTATCGAAAATTCGTGAAAGCAAAAATGCGAGGAGCAAGATCGAGCGAGACCCCCTCTTTCTTCTTCTCTTTTCCTCCCGCAGAATCGCTACTTTCCACCGATTCCCCGGCAACATTTCGTTTCTCTTTCTCTCTCTCTCTCTCTCTCTCTCTCTCTCTCTCTCTCTCTCTCTCCCTTTCTCTTTCCTTCTATCTTGTTTCCGCAAGCGATGTGCGAATGAAGCGCATAATACCGCCGCGTGAGATTTCATCCGTACGACGCACGCACATCGCCGCGCACACACGATCCGATTAAAAAAAGTGAGAAAATAAAGGGGAAAAAAAGAAAGGATAAAACGTCGCTCCTCTATTTTTTAACGAGCAATTAAGCGGTTAATTAAGCGTGCTGCACAATTAATAAGCAGCTAGTCACGATCGCTCCGCGGATGAGAGAGAATTCCCGGTCACGTAGCCCTGTGCTCGGCTTTGCCGTCCATAAATCCCGGCGATCTCCGCGGCTGGCGTTCGACGAAAAAAAGAGAAATAAAAAAAAAAATGAGAGAACGAGCGAGAGAGGAGAGGGGAAAAAACGCATTGCGCGAAGGCTACCCGCCCGCACATCCGCACATCGTGCAAATGGCATTTTCCTCGCGATCACGTGCTACCGCGTAGCTCATAATTAATGTTAACGCTATCGGGCGCATGTGAAGAACCACACTTCTCTCGGCCGCAATATTTTTCCGACGTTATTCGCCACCAGACTTCCCTGCCTCCCCCTCCTCTTCTCCTGACCCTCGCCGTTCGATGGCGCGATTTTCATCCACGTCGTGGAAGAGGAGCAGCTTATCGAAGCGAGGACGATGGAGGGAAACACGACGGCGACGGCGGTGACAATATTGTCTCTCGAAACAGTGAGATATTTTGCCACGTTCTCGTGAGAAAGACAGACAGAGGAAGAGAAGGGGGGGGGAGGGGAGAGAGAAAGAGAAAGTACGAGGCTCCTCCGGAGAGTGCACTTAAAGCGCCCAGCAGATATTTCCCGCGCGTGCACCAAGATGCCGCGCGACGGTGGTGGCGAAAAATTTTGCGAAAAGCCGAGAAAGCCAAGACGCCCGCGGAGGACGTCTCGACGAATAATTTATGATTCCCCGCCGGTGTATCGCGCCGGATGTCGTGTTATCCGTCGATGATCCGCCGACGTTCCGTCGCGTGATATCTGCAGGAATGGCCGCCCGCGCGTTTCATACTTGCGGAATATTCTCCGCGACGCGGCGTGAGAGCGCAGACTCGCGTCGCGGAACTCTGCGGGATGCGAATTTGTCACGACTGCAACGTTTCGGCCGAGCGCTGTGTCTAACGAGAAAGCTGTGTGGAGTTATCGCGGCCTCTTCTCCGCGACGATCAGCCTTCGTGAACCGTTGCTTATTGCCGCGCGAGCGCTGTCATCGCGGGGATTAATTTGATTTTGGTAGTTTGGAAGTGTCGAGAGGGGATTAAGTACTATGAAATGATGTGTAATGTAAGTACGATATTGTTATGTTCTGAGAACTGTCTGCTCCTCGAATTATACATGTAATTCACGGAAACGGGATCGCGCGGCTGTATATGGAGATCATGTGGCGGAGTAATGAAAGAGGAGCTGCGCCGGAGAAACTCGAGACCTTGAAGAACGAGAACGGTGAGCGACGTAGACCATTCCTTGGAAGGAGCAATTTGGAAATAAAATATGCTAATCTAAGGTATTATGTGAACGTAATTAAAAACTTACGAGAGAGAGAGAGAGAGAGACCGCCGTGCCACTTTTTCTACGAAGAACGAAAGCCGGAGGACTCACATTGTAAACGAGGGGATAATGAAATCCGTGGAGAAACTTGAAACTCCGAGGAGTAACATTAGAAACTGAATAGCAATTGTGTGGACGCTGCTGAAAGAAACTCACCAAAAATTTGAAGCTATCAATCGCGCCCGAAATTCACCGTTGCTTCGTTTGCGGATAGGAATTTCGCGACCATTGCGATCTACTTTTCTCGACGAGAGGAAATCGGAAAATAATTCTCCCCTCCCACCCCTCCTCTCTCTCTCTCTCTCTCTCTCTCTCTCTCCTCTCTCTCGACCTCGTGAAAAGCGTCGCGATCTTCGATTCGCTACTCGCTGCACGCGACTCGCGAGTGTATTCTCGAGACGAATCTGGAATTTATCGCGCGATTTTTCGTTCAAGTCGTTAAGCGCCGTTGAAATGACCGCGGTCGAGAGTGCGGCGCGGCGAAGCGAAGTGAAGTGAACGATCGACGCCTGGACGCTGGACTCAGCGGCGGGTTTCATCGCTCGGATCTGAACGGATGATGTCGCCGTCGCCGGATATCGACGCCAAATGGCGAAAAACCACAATCCGAACGCTCGCGGAGCGTCGCATGGCGTATGTTTAGACGTAAATCGCGTTGGTTTCCGGCGAGAAGAAGTAATCAATGGCACACGCATCGCAACCGGCGACAATGAGAACGCATTTCCGCTCGGCAGAAAACGGGAGGGATGAGGGAGAAAACAGAAGGTAAAACGTGACTATCATGCGAGACAAAAGTATATTGTTGCACTTCAACATTGACAAAGGAAACCGCGTGTAAACAAGAACATGATTTTTTGAAAACGCAAAAGCCACATACTGACGAAGGGGTGGGGTGGAGAAGAGGGAGAGACTAAAGCTACAGCGGAACTATTTGCGCAACGCATAGTTTTTTTTTTTTTTTTTTTACATAGTTTACCGTGAAAACACCTCAACACAATGGCGGCTTGTCCCTCCTGACGACGGTTTTGTCCGCCTTCGCTGACGTTGCCGTTGTCCGAAATTGGAAAAAAAATCACTCCTCGACCCGGCAGCCTTCGCGGCGTGACGGACGTCACGCGCGACGCGTCGTCGTGCATAGCAATAGTAATGACGATAATCCGCGGGTTAAAAATCACTCGACGACGAGTTCTCGTCGTGGTCCTCGTCGACGCGTCTCCAGCGAGACCGGCCGATTATAACGGCCGCTTCTACCAACTGTGGCTAATGTAACCGTCGTCTGGTTATTCCATCGGAATTGACCGCTCGCATTAGTCAATTCTGATTAACGAGACACATGGCGATTGGCCATTTCCGTTTGGAATAACCAGCCGGTTAAGTTAACCGAGGTTGCTAGAGACGGGCATAAATCTGTTTGTCGGAACACGCGCGCGATCGTTGATCGATCGCGTTAAGCTCGCGGCCTCGCTGCCGCGCGATTTAACGCGCCTTTCCCGGGGCGTTCTTGACGCCCGGGCTCCCGTCGCTTTTAACGATCGTTACAGACGACGCGGGTATCGGCTCGTTAACTCGTCGACTATCGGCGGAATTCGCAAAGTGCGCGCTCTCGTACACGAATGAGTCGTAGCTATTATTTGCGGTCGTCACTTCATCTCAACTGCACGGGCAGAATTTTTTCGGATGATAGCAGCGTCCGGTAATGGAGGCGAGTACAAAGCGCCAGCTTGCATCCGGTTGCTGCATTATGTGCGTATCGATCGAAATAATGGCCGGCGAGAGAAGTTCGTTCGGTTTCTTTTCTCGGCTCGATTCGACTATCCGTTCGCGATCAGAGCGACGCACTGTGGGATGTTTGGCCTGAAAAGTTGGCCAGAAGTCAATTTTCTTAAAATCATTCCTGCTACTACACGAGTGACTGTCTTAGACAGTTGAATATCTGTGGAATAATGGGCCGCTATGCTTCTGTTCGTCCGTGATAACATGAAGCGGTTTGATCAATCGGAATTTGGACGTTATTCTCGTATCAATGCACGCATCAATTCTCAGCGCTTTATTATAACACACGATCTTCGATCAGAATTTTGAGGTTCTTAGAAGTGGCAGCGCGAAATTTTGCGTCACGGATTGTTTGGAGAAAGGTATGAAGAAAGACGTTTTAGACTATATTTATTACAATTGAATTGTTATTCACGTAGATATATAATTTTCAAAATAGCATTCAATAAATGTATCTTTAAATAAAATGTATCTTTTTGCGTTCTCGATGTCAAACTCCGAGGATTTAGTTATACTTCAGAGTCTATCCCTGTTACGTTTCTTGGATGAGACGAAAGAATAATCTCTCCTGGTAAAATATCAGACAGAATTAGCAGCGGAAAACCCCGGTTTTAGTCATTACTTTTGTTTCCCTAAACGTAAATTAGATTTTGTTCAAAGGTTACTTAGACATAAAGTTTCCTTTTGTTTCTTTTTATTTCCTTTTGTAACATGGACATAATCAACAGACTTCTACTAAGTTCTGACCCGTTACTAAGAAATATGAGACGCGTACGAAGAAAGAAATCTAAAGGATTTTTAAAGGAAACATTGGACATGCTTCTTCTCACTGACTTCACACTAAGAAGAGGAGACATTTCAATAGATGAAAATGATGTTGATTCTGAGGATGGAATACACTCATTAGATGAAGAAATTTGGAGTTTGTTGTAGTTGAATACTTATTAATGTGCAATATTACGCTTTCTTAGTTATTAAAATATTTTTACATACATATTTGCACTTTATTTCATGAAAAACTCATACGAAGTTTTTATAATGATCATATATGTATAATTAGTAGCACGTTTTAAACCGTAATTCGTCAAAAAATAATTTTGGCCAATTTTTTGGCACAAACATCCCACTGTGCGACGGTCGACGAGAGGTGTCCGGAATTAGTGAATATAATGACGAGACGTCATGTTCTATTAAGACGTCGCTTCTTTTTCTTCTCCATGGATCTCCGGCTTTGAATATGCCTTCGATTACTAAAGAGAACCAAACCTAAAGGAATTTCACAATATTGGTCGTCTCGATATGGGAAACTACTCTCGTATGTGGTGAATTTTTAGAACGCTAGGCTAAAAGCGTACGTCCCCGGCCAAGCCATTAATTAATGATAATGCGCAATTTCGGTTTTAATACATATTCATGCAAAATATATTCCGCTCGCGTGATGTAACATATTATTGATGCATTATTATTGACGGGTTATCGGGCAAAAATTCTCTCCGCTCGCCTGTACGCGCCCTTATCGGGCGCGCACCTTCTGTCATTTTGCGCCTGTCACGTTGAGTTAAGCCGACGTTGGCAATTTCTCCGCCGAAATTAGACCCTCGATTTCAGCCTTCGAAGCTGTCCTCGGCTCAAGGTGACAGACGCGCTCGTCTGATAATTAGCGCGTCTCGTAATGAGCGAGCGGGGAGGCGTGTCAGTCTCCCTACTTACCCGCGTTTCATCTCTCAGCGCCTTGTGATGCGGCTCGCTCACGGCGAGGGACCTCTTGTGCAGCCGTTTGTGGGAGAAGAGATAATAATTCTTCAGCGCGCCGATCTGCAACCAAAAAATACACCACTTTTATTGCACCGACTCTCGAGTGTCGGGTGATTGAGGAAGCCGCGGGAGTCGTAAACACGAGGGGGTAGGAGCAGCGGCAGAGAATTGGCGAATCCTCTCTCTCTCTCTCTCTCTCCCCTCTCTCTCGTCCCCGACCTTCTCCGACCGTTTCGATGGTTGCCAGACCATCGAGACATCGTCCCGATCGACAATGCCCGCTAGATCCCCGTCCACATTCGCCGAAACTTTGACCGTGACATCGTCATCGTGTGTGCAGCCGGACGCGATTCTTTCGGGATGAAACGTCCCGGGCTCTCGCACAGGTCGACAAAGAGAGCGCCCGCACGTATGAGTCAAGTTGAAGCAAGTGTGGAAATTAACGATCGATTTCATATTTGTAGAATTTCCCCGCGAAGTATCGAAGGAAGGTAACAAATGGATGCCGATATTCTAATCTTTCTAGTCGTTATTCGCATATATACATTCATACATCGACTCGAATGTGACACCGACCGAGTATCTGGATCACCAATACGTCGACATCTATTGGGGACTTGAATAAGTTCTCGCTGTTTTCTCGTGAAAATGAATGCTTTATTTAAAAAAAATTAGTAAAGAACATATCATTGAAAGTATTGTCCATCGTTAGTCCACTACTTTCTCCCATCTTTCTGGCAGTATACGAGAATACCATGTCGAAAGAATGACTCATCTTTTGAGGTTATCCACGAATCGACCCATTTTTTGGCATCTAGAAGATAAGAATGGAAGTGCTGCTTAGCCAGGCCATGAGTCATCGATCGGAACAAGCGGTAATCGGAAGGAGCAATGTCCGGTGAATACGGCGGGCGGGTGGGGTAGGACTTCCCATTTGAGCGTTTCCAAGTAGATCTTGGCCGGTTTTGCAACATGTGGCCGAGCGTTGTCATGCTGCAAAATTACTTTGTCGCGTCTCTCCTCGTATTGCGGCCGTTTTTCCTTCAATGCTCGGCTCAAACGCATCAATTGTAGTCGATTGCGATCTCCCGTGATGGTTTCGTTGGGTTTGAGGAGCTAATAATATACTACACCCAGCTGATCCCACCAAATACAGAGCACGAGCTTGGAACCATGGATATTCGACTTTGCCGTCGATGTTGACGCATGGCCGGGCTTACTCCACGATTTTCTACGCTTCGGGTTATCGTGGTGTATCCACTTTTCATCGCCAGTCACGATACGATGCAAAAACATCTTTCCTTTTCTGCCGTTGGAGCAGCTGTTGACACGTGAGAAAACGCCGTTCGACGTCTCTCGGCTTCAATTCGTACGGCATCCAATTCCCTTGCTTTTGAATCATTCCTAATGCTTTTAAACGTTTGGCAACCGTTGCGCGATCAACTCCTAACGATTCTGCAAGTTCATTTTGCGTCTGACATGGGTCTTCATCGAGTAATGCTTCCAGCTCTTCGTCTTCAAACTTTTCCGCTGCGCCAGAGCATTCTTTATCTTCAACATCAAAATCATTATTTTTAAGTCTCCACAAGAATTCTATGTGCTTCAGCTGTAGATTTTTTTTGAAGAAAGTAATGCAGTAAAATTCCCCGCAGATATTCTTTTTTTGGCACGAAATTCAACATGTTCAACGCTATGAAAAAATATGTTGTTTACGCTTCGGCGGAATAACATATACAGTCACTTCGAGCCTAATGGTGGAGCTTCACGATGAAGTTGGCTGTAGTGTTGCCCGATGCAAAAAGGCTGAGATAACACCGTCTGTCGGGAAACAGCGAGAACTTCAATTCAAGTCCTCAATACATATGGCATTTGTTAAATATTGGGAGTACAAATTAGTTCGGTCCGTTTTTTTGTGTTAAAAGATGTATTTATTTCAAATACAAAATGAATGAACAGATCAATTAAAGTATTTTCCATCGCTGGCTACTACTTTCTCCCATTTCTCAGGCAATTTTCGAATTCCATCTCGAAAAGATGACTCGTCTTTTGAGGCGATCCAAGTTTGGAGCCAATTTTCGATATCTGCGAAAGAAGTGAACCGGTGACCTGCCAATCGTGCTGCATCCTTCGGAACAACCAGTAATCAGAAGGAGCAATGTCCGGAGAATACGGCGGGTGCGGTAAAACATCCCATTTGAGCGTTTCCAAATATTTTTTTACGACTTTTGCGACATGAGGCCGAGCGTTGTCATGAAGAACGCCTTTCAACGTCTCTCGGTTTCAGTTCATAAGGCACCCAATTTCCTTGTTTTTGAATAATTCCCACGTCTCTCAATCGTACGGAAACGGTTTGTTGAGTCACTCCCAATGATTCTGCAAGCTCCTCTTGCGTTTGACTCTGATCTTCTTCGAGTAATGCCTCTAATTCTTCGTCCTCGAATTTTTTTGGCTGTCCAGCGAGGCTTGTCTTCGACGCTGAAATCTCCATCCTTGAAACGTCGAAACCATTCCCTACATGATTTATCAGTTGGAGCAACGTCACCATAAACTTCAACAAGCATTCGATGGGCTTCAGCTGCACTTTTCTTCCAATTAAAGCAGAAAATTAAAACCTCCCGCAAATGCTGCTTGGTTAACACAAAATTCGACATTTTCAACACTGTAAAAAGCAAGGTTTTTGTTATGAAACTCAAAGCGATATAAACTGAACATTATTGGCAGATGTCTAACCTCTCTGAAACCGCCAAAATCGGCAGTTACTATGAACCATTCATAACAGCCGGAGCCATCTTTTGAAAACGGACCGAACTAATTTGTATACCCAATATATCTAATTGTATCCGCAATCCCGTATTATATTCGATTTTAATTGTCTCCGCCATTAATTGCATTATCTCTTCTAACATAATAATAGAAAATATTCCCGTGTGTAATAATAATATTAACAGCAACAATAATAAGTTGATATTTAGATCAGGCTGTATGTGTGTGTGTGTGTGTGTGTGTGTGTACATCGACATGATATCAACGAAATGTCGCTCGGATTGGTCGTCAATATAGCGTCGATATCATTAGAATCTAATCATTATCAAATTGAACGGTTCGAAAAATTATAATCGTCATCGATTCGACGACTGTCGATTTGCGGAAAACTCGGACTCCAATCGAACTGTTTGATCATTTTTATTATTTCATCACAGAGTTGACTCGACGCGCGAGTTCGACGCGGCGTTATCGTAAATCGTTATACGTATATGCGCTTGAAATATCCCGCGATTCGTAAATAACATTTCGGCACCGAGCTGGACACATACACAAGAGCCGGTTTTTCGGTCGCCGCTTGTCGACTGCGGCGACATCAAAGCGCGTTTTTGTATTTAACGATCTCTGCCGGAACGTTAATGAACGATATGCACGCGCTACGATGTTAGCTACCAATTTTGGAAGTTTAACGCGATCCATTAGAGATAATTAGCAGGTCACTGGATGCTGGGTGATTATAATTATATCTATAAATGTATGTATATAGCGGGGGAGTGCGGCTTTTGAGGTTAAAATTGGAATAATCGTCGATAATTCTGCACGTAGCAAGGGAGGGAATGAGAGAGAAAGAATGAGAAAGCACGTTTTAACGACACGATATATAGCCAGAATATGCAAAGCATTTCAATCGACAATCTTTATTTTTTGAAACCGTTTGGCACCGCCAAACCAGGCAAAGAAGAACAAGCACGAAAGACGTTCGCTCTAGATTTGTTTTCCCCCATTATAGCAAAAACTCGCGCTTTTTCTTCTTTCTCTTTAATCGGTAGATATATATTTGTGGTGTTAAATAGACAATCACATTTTTATATCAAATATGCAATCCGATGGAATATAAAAGACCAAAAGGTAAAACATATAAATTTAGAACACGGAATATTTTTACACTTTTTAAATATTTATACTCTAGTGAAATGTAAATACTCGCGGTGTTCCACACATGATTTGTCCAATTCTAATGGAAAATGCAGGCCCGGAGAAATTGATGGGGAACATCGGGTAAAATCGAGTGAGATTGTGTTTGGATTTCTCTCTGAGAATTTTGTGCAGATTTCCGAACCAGAGCCCATAATTTCTTCTATGGGAAATCAGACCGCATCCTAATTAGATCCCACGGCATTTTCCGCGCGAGCGCTCTCCCGTGCACTTCGGCGCACGAGGGAGAGCAATCGTAAAAGGACGCGGCGGCGTTCGCCGACGAGATTTTCCTAACGGGAACGCTAAAAATCCGACGAAACTGCGCCGCCAAGTACTGAGGAGTCACTCGCCGAGGGCGTTTTTGCGTCGCCGCGCCGATGCGTTACAACACGTGTCGCCTACTTGAAATTCCCCCGCGGAAAATCCCCCCTACGAGCCGCGTCGGAATGGAGGAGCGAGCGGTGAAGAAGCCGGGCGCGATTCTCGAAGAAAAAGGAAAGAGAAAAAAAAAGAAACAGGGGAAAAACGCGGAGGAAGAGAAATAGACAAAAAAACGGAAGACTAGGCAAGCGAGCGCGCGAGCTTTATTTCGCCATCGAGCCATGGCCGAATTTGCGCGCGGCAAGCTCGAGACAACTATTTCGGGATTTCTCTTCCGGCCTTCTCGAGGATGTAAGTAGCTGAAGAGTGGCGAAGAGTGCATCGCTCGCTCCTCTCAATTTCGAGTTATCTTCCGTGCGCGCGCGTGCAAGAGAGAGAAGGGGAGAATTACTCGCCCTAGTTCTTCCGCTTCGGCTATTTTTATCTCTTCAGGATACAACGATACAGGTCGTGGGAGTTTATTTTACTTGAAAAATCCGTCAGCACACTTCGCGCCTTCCTCCTCACGAAATTCTAGATATCTCGGCGCGGTCGCGCTTTCCGCCCCGCAATAACGCGAGTTCCGCACACAAGTCCTCCTCTTTCAGCGGGACTGAAAATCTAACGGATTTTAATTTAACGAGTTTTCATTCTGACAAACATACCCGCTCTCTCTCTCTCCCTCTCTTATTTCGTGGCTCGGCAGCGAACGTAATTTGAACGAATCTTGCGGTCACGATCCGGAATATTCGAATCGTTCCACAAGCGGCTCTATATATCTCGGCTCTCGATCTCTCGCAAAGGAGTTAAGGCGAATCAATCCTGCCGAACTTATCAAAAGCGCCATTTACCTAACAGGGTGAGGAACGGGGGGACTCTATCTCCGACGCTCACGACGGAGGAGAACGGAAAGGTTAAATTGTACGTATCGTCGAAGCTGCCATCACCATCAGCCGGCTACGTCGTGCATTTCCAGCGGATCGTACGAGCAGCGTTCTTCTATCGCTAAGCCAGAGAGAGAGAGAAAGAGAGAGAGCGCTAGAGACACGTGCATACCGGGTGTCGACGTGAGAAAAATCCCGTATACGAAAGAAATTTTCCTCGAAACGAACATTCGGTCGAATTAGACGAAGAAAAGCCAAAAGTAAAAATATCGCGAATGTCTCGATATTTTCGCCTGGGTAGAAACGACTCGAGAGACAAAGGGAGAGGGAGAGAGAGGAGAGGAGAGGGGGGGGGGGGGAGAGGAGAGGGGGAGAGAGAGAGAGAGAGAGAGAGAGAGAGAGAGAGAGAGAGAGAGAGAGAGAGAGAGAGAGAGAGAGAGAGAGAGAGAGAGAGAGAGAGAGAGAGAGAGAGAGAGAGAGAGAGAGAGAGAGAGAGAGAGAGAGAGAGAGAGAGAGAGAGAGCGAAGCATCTTGCTGACGCAATCCTCGGCTTCTCGGGCCACCTTGTATA